AAGAAGAGAGGGGAAAGAATATTTTTCCACTATTTGATACATACAACCCAACCATGTACAAAAACTCAGAAATCTCCAAACAACTGTACAAGCTCTTTCAAACAAAAACTATCTTAAACTCTCAAACTCCCCATCCCTTATACAAATTGATCTCAAATTCTTAAACTCTCCAACAAGACAAATTGAAACTCTATACACACTCAAAATTGAACTTCTTTCAAATTCTCAATGCTCATTGACTTTGAACATCCGGCAATCTCTTCAAAGTCCCTCTTATACGAGCTCCCGCAACTATCTGCAAGCTCCCTGAACTACAACAAGTATCATGTATCTGCAAACAAGCAGATAAAAGTTAGCACAATTATAAATAAAATTAAATACTGAAAAAATATTAAATCTAGCCACTACTAGTAGAGGGAAGTGCTGAAAAGCAAGAAAGTCAAGTACGAAAAGCTAGTGGAGAAACAATACTAGGCAGGTAGGGTAGCGGACTACTGTCGTGAAAACAAGCTACGAGCACAAAACAGAACAACTCAAACACTAATGCTAGTGTTAAAACTCTGAAATATCAAAATCACAAACAACCAACTGAAAATCCCGATGGTCTAGTTTCAAAAAAAAAAAAAATTATTGTCCACTCAAACAAACTAAAATTTGAATCTATGGGCAGCCTCGTTTATAAGAACTTGGTTGTAAGACCCACTACCCGGCAACTTTCGTAGGAAAGCAGTAAGTCCGACCTTTGGGGAAGTTTTAACTAAAAGTTGACCTAACTCCTAACCCCCAATTAAAACCCTAGCCACTTCTAATAGAAGCTGTAAGTCTGATATCTGAGGGAAGTGTTTAGGTGATAATACAAACCTAGACCCCTCACTTGGGCATCATAGTTTATATGATTAGGTTGTAAGACCCGCTATCGGGCAACTTTTACCTGAAGTCGTAAGCCCCCATATTTTAGGAAAATTGTAAAAATAAATAGCAATGATCCTAAACCTCAAACAAGCAAATTTAAGCCTACGGGCATCCTAGTCTAAAAGGACTAGGTTGTAAGACCCACAACTCGGGCCGCTTAGCTTACAGGGCTAGGTCGTAAGAGCCACCGTTAGGTAACTTCTAAGGAAGCCATAAGACCTATCCAACTGAAATTCTTTGGGCAACTCCTAATTAGAGCCGTAATCCCCAAACTAAATAAATAAAAGGGCAACTTCTAAGGAAGTTATAAGCCTCGACCTAAATTAATCAAACTAAAATTCAAACCTATATGACATCTTAGTCTAAAAATGATTAAGTTGTAAGACCCACTTTTCAGGCTACTTCCTTACGGAAGCCATAAGTCCTACCCAAATAATTTAAAACCTCCGGGCAGCCTCACTATAGAGTTAGGTTATAAGACCCATCCTTGGGCAACTCATAAATAGAGCAGTAAGCCCCATTCCAAATAAAAATTTTGGGCTACTTTCTATGAAAGCCATAAGTCCCAAACCAAACCAAATTCCTGGGCTACTTCCTAAAGAAGCCATAAGACCCGCTCCAAACCAAACTCATGGGTTACTTCTAAACGAAGTTATAAATCTCAAACTAAATAAATCTCTGGGTATTTTAATAGATATAAACCCCAAAACATCAAAGAAAATAAAAATTAAAATTAAAATACACATCTCCACTTCAGTTTACTCAGGATCCCTGAGAGGATGCAACCCATGACTGCTAATCAGATTCCCTGGACACTACGATCAATGATTGTTAGTGTTGGTAGATTGAAACCTACGGTATACCTGGGACGACGGAACCATGAGATCTTGATCGGGTTTACCTCCATCTTCCCACCATTGAGACTAAATTAACTAAGAATTTATTCATCCTTAATCGAGGGTTCTCTCTTATGTAGTAAGAGGTGTAATTAACTATGAGTGCTTGCGCTCATAGGAAGTAAGGACCCCAGATCAATAAACCCTGACACCACACTCAGGGGAAATCTGGTTAACTACAATCTGACTTAAGGGAAATGGAATCCTACAGCTGCAAAGTGGGATTCATGCATTCGTGCTATTTTTCTTGAGCCAACAAGAAATGCTGCTTTTGAGAAAATAGAACAAAAATTTTGGTTTCGGAGGTAGCTTTTAAAATGTTTAGACTAAATAAAAGAAGAAAAACCATTAGTCATTATAAATGAAGTTTAAGTGGTTGACCCTTATATTTATTTATTTACTTTTATTTTTATTTATTTCTTTTTTTTTAAGTGGTTGACCCCTATATACTTTAGCCCTTGTGTTGAATAGGTTTGACCAATTGTATATTTGGATCTAACTTGAACACCTTTTGATTTACTCCCCAATAAGTGGCATCATAACTGATAATTTGGTTGGGATTGAGTAGTTCAAGTGATATATGACTTCCATGAATCTTGGTCAGTTTTTACCATGGTTGAGCTAGGTTCAAGAGTGGGTGTGACTCTTATGATTCATGTGGTTGTGTGGGCACTTGGTGTACGATACTTGATGATTTTAATAAAAAATTGTTTTAGGGTGGCTGATGATCGATGTGAATAGTCCTGTAAGATGGAGATTGTTAAAGCAAGTGAGGTTTTAGGTGTATTCTCACATCTTATAGTTAAAAAAATATTGGTGTAGAATTACAAAGTAGTTATTCCTCAACTATAAGCCTATTGCTTCTGAGTTGAAAAGAAATTTGACTATTGGTGTAATTTGCCTAAATTTGACTATTGGTGTTCTCATTCTTTCTCACCAATTCACATGCATGAACGTGCATGTATAATGCATGCAATTCCCTCTGGTTTGTCTCCATGCAATTTGAAAGCGTGCTTTTAGAGCAGCAAGTTTATATGGTTATGGATTCCGCTTCATTCTTTGAGCTTTATTTCCATCTTTTCTGGCTAAAGGTTTTACATGACATTATTGAAGAACACATGGAGGAAATCAAACTGGCAGGAGGTATAGGTTGTAATGTGAAAATGGCTTCAGAAAGTGCTGTCGTCCCTAAATTTGACTCTGAAAGAAATAAGGGCCTTGAGTTGCAATTCAGTTCAAATGATGCATATGAGACCAGAATGAAGAAGCCTCTGCATCGTGCAGGTAGTTTGGCAGAAAAAACTCATGAATATGATTCTTCTATTGATGGGTCAAGCAACAGCTGTCTAAGTAAAACTCATCATGAAACACGATATGAGCTCTACGAGGATCAGAATAAATTTGAGAAAACCAAGCAAGAAACACTAAAATATAGGTCCGGAAGCCTATCATGTCGCAGTGGTTATTCTCACTCAAGTGAGAGAAATTCACATAAGATGGATCGAATAAATTGGAGGCCAGCTCGAGATAAGAATGGCGGCAGAGGTTCCGATTATCCTTCTAGTTATAAAGATTACGATAGTAGATCAAATTTGACTTCTAACTCTCAGGAGGCTACAAGATATGAGTACAATTCTACGCTAGAATCTAGAAAAAGATATGGCAGCAGAGATTCTGAGAAGCAGTGGACAGATTCCAGCAGACATGATATGTTTGAAGACAGATATGAACCTTCTCGCTCATATGACAGTTCTGATACTCTTTATGAAGGGCCTTCTGGAGGAAGCCACTATCTCAGACATCAAAAGTTCCACAGCCTAAAAAATGATAATGAGCATCGTAATGCACAGCAGAAGTCTAGCCCACACGTTTCAGGTCATAAACAGTATCAGTAAAAGTAATAAAGCTGCAAATCTCATTGCCATGTAAGTACTTTGATATTTTCCACATCATTTGCTAGTATGGCCTGAGATAATTTTCTTCTTAATAATGATACAGGATGAGTCTGTTTTAATTTCTGAGATATGAATTCTTTCTAGTTTACTGTGAGATTCTTTTTTTTTTTTTGCAAACCAGTGAAGTACCATCTAAACCAGCTTCAGGATATTTTCTACAGCTGTATCCTTATATGTATCCTCCACTTTTATTCTTCCTTCGGTTTAAGCACTTCTATTATGAATTTTCCTTGTTTTTCACTATAAATGTGGATGTTGAATGTTTCTTTTGTTATATTTTAATACTTTACATGCTTTTCAACTGTTACAAATTAAATTTTGCTCTTGAACAATGATATGCTGTATGTTTGGATTCCAAGTATCAGCACTTAATAATTACTTTGAATTATTTTTATGCCTGCATGACCTTCTATGGCAGATTGATTTTCTGCAGTTCTTGTGTTAGCAGAGTATCCTAGGAATATTCATAGTTCATTTTATGAACATGTTATATTAAAATAGATGTTCTCCTTTAAAAGAAAAAAAGAAAAAAAGAAAAAAAAAATTCAGTTTGTTAGACGCAATTGCTTAAAAGCCTAGTTGTAACATCCAACTATACCCCTTATCAGTAGTATAAAGTGCCACAAAATTAAATATAATATTTTCAGTCTTAACAAATGATACTTTTTATTATCTGAATATTTGTATAAAACATCCATTAATATTTACATTTATTATAAACGGAAGCATCTAATCATTTCAATTACATCAAACAAATATGATGAGGACATCAGAGATTAGAGGCTATGATCAGGAGTTTTTTTTTTTTTTTTATGTGTTTTATGTACTAGTTTATTTTATATTTATGTTTTTCCCATTTTATCTCTGGGGGTGGTCATGTGGTGTTGTAGCCCAAAGGGCATTTTAGTCATTGTTTCTTTTCTTTTCATGAGGCCTATTTGTAGGCTAGTTCTCTTATTTTTTGAGTTAATGATGAATATGAATAAAAATTTCAGTTTTCTTGTTCTTGATCTTTTTGCGAGTTCTTGAGAGGAGAAACCCTAGGAGAGGGCTATGCATCACCAGTCAGCCTTCAGTGGATTCTGGGACTCGCGGTTAGTACTCGTAGTATTTTCTTATCGTCTCTTCCTTTCCCCTACATCCGGCCACCTCTTCTTCTCCAAACACTCGCCGGCCACTTCAAGTCCCCAAGCTGCCGGTCAACCTCAACAAGATCCCTTCCACTTAACCCACACCCCTTCCTCTTTAGCCAAACGCCATCCAAATCCCAAACTCTAACTATCGGCCTTCCCCTCCCATGGACCCAAAATTGATTGTCTCGACTTTTTCCAAAAGTAGAGCATGAAGATTAGGAGGGAGATCCAACTCAAAATATGATATCAAAATCAGATTTTGAATTCTTTTCTAAATTGACATAATCTATATTAGGAAAGTGCTCAATTCGTGGATCTAAGTTACCTAGCCCAAGCCCTTGGCCGCCGGCTTGAAGCCTCCACCTGTCGGCCCCTTGCTCCACCACCTAAAGCCGCCGACCACATAATTCCCTCCAAACTTTTGAATTTGAATCCACCATAAATGCTTTCTTAATTTAACCCCACTAATTTAGGACGAGAATTAAATTCAAATTCAAAATATTTGAATTTCAGAACTCTTCTTAAATTCTCCTCCTTTAATTTAGGAAAACTCTCCAATTAACTTAAATTTGAAATTAATTTCAGATTTTAAGTATTCAATCTCCTTAATTGCTTGGCCCACCTACTTAATGCCTAACCCCTTACTCTTTCCTCTCTCCTTGGCCAGCCCTCCCCCCTCTCTTTAATTAATTAGGTCCCATAAATTAAGGATCTAATTAATTCACCCATCCCCAATTTCCCTCCTACTTCCCACTCATTTCAAATTCAAATTTTAAGGAAATTACTCTCTAATTACTCACTAGATCTGAAATTATTTTCAGATTTAACTCTTTTCCCTTCTTCTCCTTTGCTTGGCCGAACCTACCTGATCCCTTCCCCCTCTCAATCTCTACTTTCTCTCTTAGACAATCATGCATGGCCAACCCGAATGTTGATCATGGGTTCGTAAAGGATTCTCTGGAACAGACCGACATTCTCCGATCTCCATTCTTGATTTCAATTTGGACGTCGACGACTCCGTGGAAAGCTACATTGAATGCATCATCTTCACGTTGGCATCGTTAATTGAGGAACACCTCCCAACTGGATCGTGGATGATTGTGGGACGTCAACCAATCCATCCGTCGCCGGCTTCCTTCGGTGAACTCTTTCCCTCACTCTTAATTTTCATCGTTACTTTCAATTGTGGAATTTAATTGATTCATTGAGAACGCGTTCGTCCTCCGCTAAAGCCTAGTAAATTATAGAGTTGTGTGAGGGATCCTTCATAGTATTAATCTCATTGTTAGTCTAGAAATTTCTTGTTGAAACTTTCCATGTATGCAATGTTAAACTAATTGATTGTTTTACGGTCTTAACTCTTACACATGTGATTTAGCCTAAGCTTTTGTCACCGCTCTTTGTGTTTTATGTTGTCGTTCAAAATCACTATAAAGATATAATTATTGTGCTCCAAATATTAAGCAAGCAAATTCCTTAATTAATCATCCTTGCATGTTTGGTTTCACATCAAAATACTTACAAAGCCACTAAAAATTCAAAATAATATACCATTGAATTGCCTATGTACATCAACTATAGACCTACAAACAAAGCTAAACACTAGAATATAAAATGAAATAATTTGAACTTATTTTGCTTCGACCTTTTCCTATAACAACCAATATAAAAAGAATTGGTGAGCTGTGAAGCTCAATAAGTTATGCAATTTACATAAAAATTAAATGTCAGATTATAAAGAATAACATGATTGAATTAATTTAAAAATATTTGCAAAAATAACATAAATCATCTTAAAAAAAAATCATATTTTCATTCATTTGAAGTCTATACGGAATATCAATATTAGTCTTTAAAGATTTGACTAAATTTTCATAAAAATATTCAATGATGTCCAAGTAAACATGACATTATCGTCATTAAATAACATATAGATCCCGTTTGCCCCATCTACTATGCAAGTATCATATCTCTGTGGTCCGTTTTGCTCACTTACAATGCAGTGTCATACATGGAGATTTTTTTTCCCTCCTATAATGGTAAAAGTTGTACATCATTTTATAGCCGGTCTTTTCTAGTTTTTGATATTCAGTATATTTCACAACTTAATAATTCATGCTTGACTTGTACAAAATATCATAAGAATCTATCTCTTACTATACTTACATACAAGTATGTATTGGAAACATTAAATTTAATGAGCTCTTTTCAAATTATTATTAACTAGAAAAATATTAAAATAATCATAATAAATCTTATTTTAAACTTCAATGACATATATATACAAGTGGTCGTTCATACATGTGAACTTGGAAGTATACTCAATTACTTTATTGGAATCTTCATAATGCAATTATTACTTCAAATAAATCAAGTGATATCATATATATCTAGAATTAATAATTCTTGCATTTGTAAATTAGAATTTACACAACTTACCTTCATGACGAGCCGCCTCTTTGAATCCTTTACCTCTTACTCTTCTACACTTCTAAGTTACCTACAATCACCTCTCCAATTATATGCTACAATAAGCACTAACTACCTCATAGGGGTACAAATGAAAAACATGAAATATAAATGACAAGAATAAAATAAAACATCAAAAATAAAGACTATGAATCGTGGCCGTCGCTCGACGACCCCTCCGATGGTAAGTGTGCCGAAATCTCCTATGGATGTCCTCATCATTAACGTTAGACTTTAATTTAAAATTTAATATAAATTTAAATAAAATTTAACAAAAATTTTAATTTTGGGTCTTACACTAGTGTCATTGCGAGGTTATTTTTCCAAGAGTTTGCATGATTATATATTGTTAGAAGAGAGATTCACGTGAGATTCCATTTAAAGTATAGATTTGTATATAGTTTCAAAAACTCGATTCTCTAAGCATGTGGTATGAAACTAGCTGGCCTGCTTCTATGCAAGTTGCGTAAACTGCAACAAGTCAGTCCGTAGAAGTGATTTGTTGTGTCATCAGCTGCTGTTTTACTTGATATTGATTTGAGATATCTGTTCTCTTAGCGTATTTGCTGCATTTGATGGTCGCCTCTGTGATGCAAGCCCTATTTTAATAAATTCTATAGTTAATCAACTTTTGTTCATTTAGTTATTATTTTTAACGTGCTTGCCATATAGAAGTACAATGCAGAAGTCTGGTGTGGACTGCAGCCATTTCATATCAAAGAATTTGGGTAGAAATTAGTTGGTTGAGATTTGAGAACTTTCAAGGGTGACAGTTCCTTCGATAAATTCAATTTAAGAACGAACGGTTTTTAATTTTTGGGCAGGATCCATCCTATAAATTGGCAAAACTCCGCGAAGAGAGGGAAGAACAAGAAAAATGGGAGGAAATGTGAATTGTCTAAGTGTTGATATTTCATTTCAATTTCTGAAATAACTTACAAAATCACTGTCAATTTTAGGGAAAATGCTACTTCTGCAAATAGATTATTTACAAAATTTGCATTTGGTTGTGGGCTGCTCATGGGGTGATGTAGAACTATGTAAGAATGCAATGATTTTGTTTAAATTTGCACAACTTTTGATTAGAACAACAGTGAAGAAACTATTAGCAGTTAAAACAACGAATTAAAATGAGAAAGGGGTCATGTCCGCTTAGGCTAAATTACATAACCAGAGATTTGAAACTTTCAAAATAAATTAGTAAACAACGTTATGCCAGAATAGTAGTTTCAATAAAAGTCCCTAATCTAACAATGAAAATTAATAAATAAAGAAGTACACTCAAAACCTTACGTTTACTAAGCTTTAGCAGAAGCAGATGGAAACGTCCTTCGTGACTACAATCAAACACAAGATAAAGTTAGACTTAAGAAATATAATGAAAGGGGAAAGTAGAACCCTTTGTCAAGGATCGGTGGCGATCCTCCACTCAACGCCTTCAAGTTTTTCTTCAATTGCTTCCACAAAAGTGTCCAGAATACGCTCTATGTAATCTTCAACAGTGTGATCGATCCTCGGATTAACGTCAAAGAAAGTTGACTGGAGAATGCGTACGAAGCCGTCCTCGTTACTCAAGTCCGTACGCCGTGGCGGGTCGGCCATTCAAGGATGCTTGAAGAGGTGATGCAAGGTCGAGTATCACTTCGCTCCTTTGAAGCTCCACTAGAGAAAGAAATTTCTCTCGAAATTGGGTAGGTGGGGAGGTGAGGATGTGATGCGGACATCCGACGGTGGACATTAATCAAAGGAAGAGACCAAGATCGACGACCGAGATCCCTTCATTTTATCTTATTTTATTAATTGTAATTTTTATTTAATGATGCATTTTTCTTTTTTACCCTTCAGGGATTTGTTTTATGTAATCCCAAGGGGCAAAATTATCTTTTAGTTTCTTTTAAGGCCTATATATAGAGGTCTTTGCTCTTGTATTAGAACATGATGGATTATTAATAAAATTTTGTTTGCACTTGTGTTCTTTGGAGAGAACGTTAGTGAAATCCCTATGGGAGGGAGTCGGAGTTTCCATCAGCCGCAGGATGGGTCCGGGCTCGTGGCGTGAAGTCCCTTGGAGGAGGGCAACGTAGTACCCGTCAGCCACAGGATGTGTCCGGACTCGCGGTTGTATCTTTTATATTTTGTTTATTTGTTTTGTTCCTTCTTATTACTCCTAGTCGTT